CAATATTAATTGGATAAGAAACATTATTCATATACATTATACATTATTCATATATGTTTTTTATGGCATTGATGATATATTTTGTAAACTTGTGAACCCCACCGCTTTCAAAAATAAAAAGTCTTCATTTTCAATATTGTTGGATAATGGACATGGACCGTTTCACTGTTTTTACTGTGTTAGGGTTTCGGCGATTTCACGTTTTGTGTGGTGTCACGGTGTCGGTGGTGAGTTGTTAGGGTTGAATATATATTGAATCTGAGTAAGTACTTTAATTATTATAAATATTTATTAATTAGAACTCAATATAAGTTACAATTATTATAGATATGTAGATAATGTTTGAAGTCTGAAATATTTCACTATATGATTAAAAATTTTACAAAAACATAATGCAATGAGTGCCGTGGTCGACAACACCCGGCATTTATCTATATTAGTTTGTTTATTATGTTTTATGTTATGTTTATTATTACCTAAATAAAACGTTATACACAATTATATTATATTAATGAACTAAATCCTATTATAGGCTAAATGTAAATGTATAAAACTAAACTGGGGGACGGAGTGGCCGAGCGGTCTAAGGCGTCGGATACGACACACCCGACGCTGGTTCGATACCTCGGTCACGGTAAGTCACGGTGTCCGGAGAACAAGTGCCGCCATCCCCCACCCCGGGCATGGCAGATACTTACGTGTGCCCAATCAAAAATTCTGCCAAACTAACACACACGTGTTCCCACCCCCCTACCGACATATAAACCTACAAAACCATACAGCTAATGGCCATTGTCGCCGTTCTCAAGATCAATTAGAAATATAAAAAAAAAAACTAAACTATACTCCTATTTCCCATTAAAAACTTTGCTACATTATTACTACAACTACATAATATTATATATTATATATATACCTATTAACTATTTTGTAACTAATTAGTATATGTATAAATATATTATAATGCTACAGTAATGTAAGAAATCTGTACCTATGATATTATAATTACCTTGTATTTACAGCACTATAAAATGTGTCAATAATTGTTATCAACATAAACATTATCAATTTATCATTATAAAATAGTAAATACATATAATAATTTATTAAAACAATTTATTACTACATTGTAGAGAGGGTAAAATCCTTCACAAGTTAAACTTTAGTAAAAAAAAAAAACACCCAATAAAAAAAATCCTGGCGACGCCACTGCCGAAATTCTTCTCTAAGATTATTTATATTACATGGGTGACTTCAAATCGCTTGCGGACTTGACACGGTAGGTATAATCACCTGATGTACAAATGGATATTGTATACTAATATACTATCCCTTCCTTTGGCTGTGGTCATTAATAATAAACAATTTCTCATAAGGTAGTTTCCGAATGCTTATTCAAAGGCACTCTAAATAGTAAATGATATTCATCCAGCCAATGGAGATGCAGTCAAATGGGTACAAAACCTGGACATTAATTATTTTTTAAGTTCCATAAATCGACGATCTTTTGCCTATTAGAGTTATTATGTAACGATTAGTATTTAATATTATTATCTATATAGTTTTATTTTATTATTTATTAATATTTTTTTATCTATATATTAGGACTTTAAAACTATGATTTATTTTATTTTGTTTCATCTTATTTTTATGTTGATTCTCAATTTATTAATATATATTTTTTTTTGATTTGTTAACTACTAAATTATAAATATTTATGTTGTCTTAAGACAAATTTCTCTAACTTGTCATAAGACATAATGTATATTTATTCTACATTATTTTTAACATTGTATAGTTATACCTACACTTATAATAAATAGTAAAACAGTATTAACCATTAAATAAAAATGTAAAAATAAACAATTATTGTTGGTCGTTGTAATAAGCACCAACCATTTTGAGTACCTACTATTATATTTTGAAAATCTGTGATACTGCGTTATAATTTATTAACTTATATTACTGTATTATTTATGTGTAACCTCTTCGTGGATCGAGGTTTGGATTGCAGAAACCAGTTGATGTTCAACAAAATTTTATACAACAGTTGTGAATCCCCGAAGTTGTATACATATATAAAAATTATAAATTAGAATCTCTCTATAGAATCTTTCATGTTCGTAGCTCATGGAAAAAATCTCCAGAATGGCTGTCTATTCGACATAAATTGGAATTGAGCAACAGCTTATAAGAATTTAAAAATTTGGTAGGTCGTTACTAAGTATATTATATTATTAATGATACAAATATACAATGGTAAAAAATATTATAAGTAGGTAGGTAGCAGTAATAATATTAAAGTTGTGACTATTATTTCAACGATTAATTGACTAAAAAAATACTAACACTTAAGAACAAACAAACACATTTTTTAATTTTTTAAACTTGCCAAATGTATTTCAAATATTTAAGGTGGCCCGTAAGCTTATACTCATTATAGTTTAATTTTTATTGCAATTCGGTAAGTACTCTTACGTTATTCACGTTCATATTTTCTATAAATTTGTTTGGTATACTTATATAGTAGGTATGTGAAATATTTTTTGCATATATTATAATTATATTTTATATATACCTATATAATATACTTGTCACTTATGGTTATAATTTGTCCTCTCATATTTCACAAATATATAGGAAGGGTTGCTTGAGTGCTTCATTGTTTAACACGTTAAATTCACAAGTTTAGGGTGCGTGTTGCTGATATTGAAAATGACTACCCTTTTACAGTAAAATGTATTGGAAGCACAATTTAATGTATATATGTACAGGAATATGTATATATATATTATTTAATATAATGTATATACTCCGTCTCGTCAGCACTAACCACGGCCATTACATCCATTATCTAGTATCATACACATTTATGCTGATTTTTATTTTATAGTCTTTTGATTTAATTATATCTACATATTGACTGGTGTAGGCAGTAATATCTGAGAGAAAATAATATATTTATGGTTTTCATTTGGCTATTTATCACTCTGGTTCGGGGACGGTACACGAGAGCTCGTCTCTATTTCAGTTTTTCCTGTTCGGTATAGTTAGAAATGAGGAGGGTTCTGAGGTTATAAGCTCCCAAATATCAAATTTGCCCCGTAAATGTTTTTCATATATTATGAAATAATTTGTTTTTTTTTATGATTGATTAGTTACCTATTGAATATTGATAGTTATAATAGTTGTGATACATTATAAATAAAAGGAGTAATGAGGCGTAATAAAACATGGCTGAGAACTTTATTGGTTTTAAATCCATACAAAATATCTGTCTATCCTAGCTACCCTCATATTTAAAAAAAATCGTCAAAAAGTATTAATAGGGACGAAGACAGTATTAGAAAAAGGTTTATAGATATAGAACTAAAAAAAATGTTAATACCTATAAATACCTTAAATTAGTCTAAATATTTTTAACATTTCACTGTATATAGAAAATAATAATTTAAATTTTAAGTATTTCAATAGTTTCTACTTTCTACGATAAATATCTTTATGAATTACAACAAAATAAATAAATCGTTGTTTATTTACCTAACCAATGTCAACATTTTAATAATCGCTCACAACAAATTTATATGTATACTTACTTTTATGTTCCAAAAAAAAGAGGAATCTTTTATTATATTTTTGAGCCTTAGGTATTATATTTAAAATTTTAATAATTTTTAACTAAAAAATAGTTCACACATTTTTATGGTTTAGTCGTTTAGATGAATTTTGCAATATGATCTTTAAATGCTTATAGAAAAAAATGTTTGATCTTTAAATTACAAATTACATCGAATTACTACTATCTTCAAAATTACCTCGAAGTTGAAGATTGATCCATTTTAAAAAGTTATTCATATACAAAAAAACACCGATTGGCTATATACAAATACAATGGTTACATTTATCTCTTCAGTCTTCACTCAGAATCTAAAAAATGTATCATCCCGTTTAACTTTCTTTAAGTGCTACATATTTCATTTTATATTTATCTACTTTCTTAACTAAATCTGTAGCTGCTTCAGGTATTTATAAAGTCAGTACATTTCAGGTACCAATAGCAAAATCAAATTTAATATTCCCAGTCATTTTTCCAAATAATCTACTCCGAGGCTTCTCGTATGAGTCCTAAACAGTATATAGTAGAATAAGTGATCAATAGTTATATTTTATGTTTAATTTTAGTGTACTTTCAGTACAGTGTGATGATATTAATTATGAAATAGTTTACCATAATTAATTTACAGGGGGGTTTTCGCTTGAGCGAAAAATCAGGTATTATTTTTAACTGTATTGATAATTTTAATTAATATATTAAAAGGTCCTAGAAATTGGACTGGAATATGGTTCAAGATAATATACTAAAAATTAAACGAAATGTTTGTTCCGGCTAGCCATTGAGCTTTGAGTAGATTGTAATCGTTTAGTTATATTTGTAAGGTTCCAGTTGGAAATAGGTAATAACTCGTTCTTGTAGAATCGTGAGTGTACTGCCTGATTTAGTGATCTACACTCGTGTATGAATTCATTGTCTCAGCCAAAACCATAAATCTCAGACGACTCCGGGTCATTTCTGCACTACGCACCGATGCAATGGGTGAAATTATGACTTTCATCCATGAAGAACTTTTAGTATCCACTATGGAATGCTGGCCATGTTGATTTGTCACTACCTCCAGAAAGGCGGTACTCCTCAATATTAGTACATGCAAGAAGTGTCAATGTACCGGATGAGGGATGTTGTTTTGATCACGTGGCATCCAAGTATATTTCCAGTGAACAACTCAGCACCCTGAGTCAAGTCATACCTCCCGCCGGTTGTGCTGGCTAGATCCATCGCTGAGATTACCTAGCAATCCTGTTCTGGTCGTACTACGTTTGACGTAGGTACTCGCAGTATCTCCTATACCATGCTGTTAGGTTAGGGTCAACAAAAACACGAATGTTGGCAATGTCTGTGTGAGTGGTGGTATTGTAAGCTACACTTCACTGTAGCAGATGGCATGTGGTTGAACCTGAACCCCCAAAAACAGGGCCCATCTTTCCCTTTTACCCTGGTTTCCAGGAATAAAGCCGCCGCGTCTAGTCAAACACAGAGTGTAGCAGACGAATCGTCGTTATCGCCTCCTAACGGTAGAAAAATTGGACCGAATAGTTCCAGGAGCCGGCCTAGGATGAGCTCCAGGCCTGGGACCAATACAGCTATCTACCGGAAGGCAAAGGCTTCTGATTCAGCTAAACACATTCAGTCAACTTTGCTTAAACTGCCAAATACAAGAACACTGACACCAGCATGGCACAATGTAACTACTATCTCAAAGCATCTAACAACGCTGGTAAGTGGACTAAAGTCTAGGAAACCTGGACCCAGGTGGTGGGAATTAAATCCAGAGAGTCTCACGGCACAAAGGGGACAGCTAACAGACACGGGACTGTAACATAGCACACACTTGGCCTATACAACGATAAATCAAGGGCATCTGATATGAAATAATTACCATCATAAGAACCTAAACTCTGTACACAGAAATTACAAACATGAGACAATGGATCGTATGTTGTTGCGAAGGAACTAGAACATTATGGCCCACAAAATCTTACCTACTTGGCACGACAGACTAACAGACTAGTTGAGGATTTTTGGAAAACGAGATGACAAAGGCCAAAGATATGGTTGGAAAAATGTTTTGGTAATCTTTGTGCCACACTTGCAAAACCCTGTCGATGACTGAAGGATTTGAAATGTGCAGTTAAGAGCAGCTGGTATTCCGAACTATGATCGCAACGAGCTGAGCTTATTTAATAACAACATGTTTTCTGCGATTGAGGGAAATTCTGCGTAATGGAGAATGGTCTCTGACATTGCCCAAATAAAACAGGATCCGTTAATATTGTAGACTATACCTTATATCCCCGTTGTGTCCATCGTGTACATAGTTACGGTTATTGATATTGGGATATTTACTTATTGCCCATAGGTCTTAGTTACTGACTATTGTATAATATAGTAATTTATGCGATATTTTATTGTTAAAAATTAATTTGAATGAGTTATTTTCCTCAGAATTTAATATTGGCATTCAATTTACCACAAGAATATATCGTTAAGACAAATAAAACGTATGAAACTTAAGGATCCTATTAGTCGCGATATGCGACTGAGAGTAAGTAACGCCTGTTTCTACTAACTCCTACATGGGTGACCACCCGGGTTCATAGTAGTAAACACCTTGTCACACATACACGTGTTTGCTTACCTACAGTAACAACACCTATAACAGCTAATGGCCATAGTTCAATAAAAATAAACTGTTTTATTCTTTAACGTGTAATTATGAGATATTAACAAAAAACTATTGTTAACTAATCTACAATAAATTGATAACAATTTATTAAGTATAATTGTTTACTTTTGTTTTGAAGTTTTGTAACGGTATCTATACATAAAAATATCATAGTACATCGGACAGTAAATCCGGTGGTTGTCAAACTTGAGACATTCTGTAGGTACTAAAATACATAAGAGTGCCACAGCACCGACAGGCTTATCGCTTTTATAACAATAATTATTATTAAAACCAATAACAACTATTTACAAACAAACATTTCCATCGTAAATCTCAAAATCCCGGTTATTTGACCACCTCCTTTTTAAATTAGCCTATCTTCTTCCCAGAGGTCTAATTTATCTCTGTACCAAATTTAATCGCAATCGGATGACCTGTTTAGGAATGCATAAAGGACACACATACTGACACACAGTAAACATTTATTTTTATAATATGTCTAGATAATTTAAATAAATAAGAAGTTTTAAAATTGAGTTTTCAATTAATATTATCAATATATTTTTAACTTTAGTAATTGTTCACTAATATATAATTTTTCAATATCAAAATTGCATAGTGTTCTCGCCTCTTCGGAAGGAATTGTACAATATACTATTTGTGAATCGCAGTGTCAGGATACAGGACGTCTGACACCCGAAGAGAATTCTAATAGCAGTCTAGCGTTAGGTAGAATAATATATTATTATTGAGAACTTTGTTTATAATGTAATATATAATACTTATGCAATTTGCGTAATAATAATAATGCCATCCGTACGACAGTCGAAACGCCAAGAACGACGAGAATAGTGCCAGTGCAGCATCGACGGTTTATTTTTAGTCAATTCTTTTATTTTTAAAAAAATGCTTTTAACTCACGGCCTCACGATTGAAGGTAATAGATAGTAATATTTATATTATATTGAAGATAATAATAATAACCATATAAGGCCGCAGTATATTGATAGCGTTTGTGTTAGAACTTATATATAATACGATATAATATTGTAATGTATACAAATACAATATGTACCTAACGTTGCGACCGTGTCGTATTGTTACATACTTTTATATTTGTATAGCATAGAAGACTTGAAAAAAAAATAGCACACGATATCATTGTAAATGAGGAACTAGTCTGAATAGAGACGGATATAATATACATATATGTAAATGGTACCTCGGTTAGTGTAGTCAGTGTAGAGATCAGAGATGTATTGTGAACGGGAGGCTGCAATCATAAACAAGAAAAGACATACGAATAATGTACGTGTCTGTATACATGTAGACATAGTTATAATAATATTATTACGTTTACGGACGACCAGTTGACGCAGTGGCTCGCGGTCCCCAAATAAACGCGTAGATTAATAATTCTTCGGGTTGGGCTTGGTTTTGTTATTTTCTATACATACTTCTAATAATAGAAGATCGCCGTCGACCGTGTGTACAAGTCGTATAATCGGTCGGTTGCGCGTCGCACACTTACTATACAGCTCTAAAACTGCTCTTCGAAGATCGTCGGCCGGACTGAGTCTCTGCAACTACAGTGCAATCGAAAGCCCGCCGGAGAAGTCATCCGCTCGACCTCGTCGGGATCGAATAAACGACGACGGTCACCTCTCAACGAACCAAATATTTTTGAATTTAATTTTGTTAACGATGTCCGTCCGTTGCGTGCTCTCGCACTCTCAAAGTTCGTGTGTATGATATCGTCTCATATATTATACAACATCGAGAGTGGACCGAATGTCGTACATTATAATAATTATTATCATTTATCACATATTATTATTATTATTATTATATTATACTTGCCGTGTGTGCGATCGTGTTCGAATTCGTCACCGGCGGAGTGCAGCAGGAAACGCATTCGGGTTGCATATTAAGTGCATATACCATATTACATAATATCATCTACTTCGCCATCACCCGCCAGCTGTTGCCCGCTTGTATTATCGAAACATCGAGTAACCGAGGTCCAACAACGAAAAGGTAAAAAAATTAATACTATTGTCTTATAAAACACACACACGTACCAACGTCCAACAGTAATGCAGCAGACTATTGTGATCAATTAAGCATTCCATATCGGCAGTTGGCACTCACGCGGCCATAATATTATTAAATGCACTCCTGTATACAGCGTGAGTCACGAAACCCCACCACAATGATGTATCTAAGTCTTTTTACTGTGAATATCTTCTTTTAAGTTTTATTCTTTCAAAATTGTATTTATTTAATTTTCTTTTTTAAATAAGATTAGAAACACGCCTAGCGTATCTCTATGACTATAATCCATTGGTGGATTTACAGTTTTTTAAATTTAAATTTTTATGAAACAATTCTTTTAAACACAATGTTTTCAAATATTTAGATTTTTCGTGGCATTTACTAGGAAACAGTGTTTTTTTTCCGAATATATCATATTTACCATATATTCCATTGATATTCCAAGAATTCCTTAAATGCCACTAAAAATCTAAATTAATACAGAAAATACGTATTTAATTCTACTTAACATTTTTATAAGAATCAGAGAATAAGGGTGAACGTACGTTTGGTGAATTATCTTTTGTATAAATGTATACATATTACATACAAGGTATCGAGTCATTGGTGTATTTAGGGGGGAGCAAGAGTGGCAATGTCCATGGGCAACATACTTCAGCTGGAAATGTTAACAACAAATATTATTATTACAATAAATTATTTACAATATGAAATCCATATTCTAAGCATAAACGTTAGTTATAAAATAGAACGAGCCAATTTTTTTAATCTCGATCCTCTCGCCCCTCCCCCAAGGACAGTGATAAAATATACTCCTGAATCGATAAATGTGTGTAATGACTGTAATGTATTTATAATGATTAAAATAAAAACACAATTTCTGTAGGAATTACCAACGCCTTAAAATGATATTAGTCACAATTTTAGAAAGCCACTAATAAAGTTAAGTATAGATTATCTAAACTCATAAAACGTCTAATATATAATTTTAAGTACCTATTTTATTATTCTACAACCCGTATGATATTCAATGTATATGCATGTAAATGATAGATAATAGATAGGTACAAGATATCTAGTGCATTTTTTAAATATAATTTATTAAAAATTACAGTTTTAACTTTTTTCTATATAAATAAAATATAAATAATTTATTATATTTTTTCTTATATAGTAAGTTATATGTGCATGTATAGAATCTACTGGTTCAAAATAAATGTGTAATATAAGAATATATCAATAGCCTATCAAAATTTTTTTAAAGGGGGTGTCTTATCAATATATACCTTATATGTATATTGTATATAGGTACAAATCGATGTATACATCATACATGTATATAAATTAAAATTGAATTGCTTATAAAAATATAAACATAATAAAAGCAATCGACTAATCAAGACACTCATATAGCTGCATGCTCGGCTGCATGTATGCCGTATGGAAAAAAAGAACATCAATTATATTTTTATACTTATTTACAAAATAATATATAATTATTACGCGTTGAAGGGAGGTGACAATAATGTGCCATATCACCCTAAAATCCCACTTACTTCACTGAAAAATATTATATTGTTTAATTTTATTTTCGCTTTAGAGTTTCGACATTATAATTATTTATATTTCATCATTTATTCATTTGTTTGTGTTTTAATAAGCTCTATAGCATATCAGCATAAATATATTATAACAATTTATTGTTTTATAATATATACTATGTAAATGTAGCCATGTAGGTACATTATAAATGCACTAAATAAATGGGCTGCATGTGGATTTGCACTATTGCAGTGGGTTTGAATTTATTTTCTTCAATACCCACACACACTCACAATTTAAAATATGTGACTACCACCGTTTATATATCACTTTGATATCACTTTTTGAAATCGAAAAATATTCAAACTACCTTTAGGTACCTATGTAATATTGGATAGGAATAATTAATAATATAGACAATGGCTCACGTGTAGCACGAGTAACAACCTCTAGTATAATTATTTAAAGTCATCATTACTCCTTACAATACGTAGAGACAAGTATCACATAAACATAACATGCTATTAAAAAATATCTGAAAATTATATTGCTTT